GGCCGTCGTCGTCGTGGTCGTCGCCGCCGTCGGCCTCAGCGTCGTCGTCGGACGCGTGCGGTCGTCGTCTTCACCGTCGTCGGCGGAGGCCTCGTCGTCGTCGTCGTAGTCCTCGTCGTCGTCGTGGTCGTCCCCGTTGTGGCTGTTGCCGTCGTCATCGTCTTCCCCGTCGTCGTCGTCCTCGTCGTCGTCGGTGGTCTCGAAGTCGTCGTTGGCCTCGTCGTCGTTGTCTGCATCGTCGTCGCAGTCAAAGTTGTCGTCGTCGTCGTGTTCGGCCTCGTCGTCGTCGGGATCGTCGTCGTCAGCCACGTCCTCGTCGTTGCGGCAATGGTTTTCGTCGGTGTTCTCGTCGTCGTCGACCTCATCCTCGTCGTCGTCGTCGTCGTCATCGGCCAAATTGTCGTCGTCGTCGTCCTCGTCGTCTCCCTCGTCGTCCTCGCCGTCCACGTCGTCGTCGTCCTCGTCGGCCTCGTCGTCCTCATCGTCGTGATCGTGGTCGTCGTCGTCGTTGCAGCCGTCGTCGCTGTCATTGTCGTCATCGTCGTGGTCTCGTCGTCGTCCTCGTCAACGTTGTCGTCGTCGTTGTTGTCGTCGTCGCCGGCCTCGTCATCGTCGTTGTTGTCGGCCTTGTCGTCATCTCGTCGTTGCGGCCCTCGTCGTCGTCATTGTCGTCGTCAACCTTGTGATCGTGGGGCCTCGTCGGCCTCGTCTCCGTCGTCGCTGTTGCCGTCGTCGTCGTCGTCGTCGGCCTCCTCGTCGTCGTCGTTGTAGCCGTCAGCCTCGTCGTCGTCCTCGTCGTCGTCGTCGTCATCGTCGGCCTCGTCGTCGTCGTTGTTGTCGTCGTCGTCGGCCTCGTCGTCGGGGCCGGCGTCGTCGTCGCCGTCGTAGTCGTCGTTGTCCTCTACGTCGTCGTCGTCGGCGTCGTCGGCCTCGTCGTCATCGTCGTCGTCGTTGCGCTTGTTGCCGTCGTCGTCATCGTCATCGTCGCCGTCGTGGTCGCCGGCTTCCTCGTCGTCCTTGCGGCCGTCGTCGGCGGCATGGTCGTTTCGTCGTCAACGTCGTCGTCGTCGGCCTCGGCGTCGACGTCGTCATCGTCGTCGGCCTCGTTGTCGTCGTCGTCGTCGGTATCGGCCTCGTCGTCGTCGTTGCGGCCGTCGTCGTCGTCGTCGTCGTCGTCGTCGTACTTCGGCCACGTCGTCATTCTCGTCGTCGTCGCGGTCGTTGCCGTCGATGGCCTCCTCGTCCGCGTCGGCATCCTAGTTGTCGGCGTCTTGGCCGTCGTCGCCGGCCTCGTCGTCGTCGTCGTCGTCGACGGCGGCGTCATCGTAGTCGTCGTCCACGTCGTCGCCGCCGTCGCCGTCGTCGTCGTCGTCGTTGTTGACGTCGTCGGCCTCGTCGTCGTTGTCGTCGTCGGTGTCGTCGTCGTCGTCGTCATTTTGGCCGTCGTCGACGTCGTCGACGTCGTCGTTCGATCTCCTCGTCGTCGTCATTGCCGTCGGCCTCGTCGTCGTCGCCATTGTCGTCGCCGTCGTCGTCGGCCTCCTCGTCGTCGCCATTGTCTTCGTCATCGCCGTCGTCCTCGTCGTCGTCGTCGTCGTCGTCGGAGTCGTCGTCGGTCTCATCATCATTGTTGTCGTAGTCTCCTTCGTCGGCCTTGACGTCGTCGTCTTGGCGGCCGTCGTCGTCGTCGGCATCGGCCTCGTACTCGTCGTCGTTCTCATCGCGGCTGGCGTCGCCGTCGTCGTCGTCGTTGTCGTCGTTGTGATTGCTGTCGAGGTCGTCATCGTCGTCGTCGTCGTCGGCATCGGAGTCGTCGTCGTTTTGGTCGTCGTCGTTGCCATAGTCGTCGGTGTCATCGTCGTCGTAATCGTAGGCCTCATCGTCATCGTCGGCCCAGTCGTCATCGTCGGCGTCGTCGTAATCATCTTTGCTGATGTCATCGTCGTCGTCGGCCTCGTCGCAGTCGTCGTCGTTGTCGTCGTCGGCCTCGTCGTTGTCGGCGTCGTCGACGTCAGCCTCGTCGTCGTCGTCGTCGTTTCGGCCGTCGTCGTCGTTTTGGTCTTCGTCGTAGGCCTCGTCGTCGTCGTCGTTGTAGTGGTCGTGGTCGCGGGCGTCGTCCTCCTCGATTTCGTCGTCGTAATCGTTGCGGCCTTCATCGTGGTCGTCGACCTCGTCGGCGTCGCCGTTGCGGCCGTCGTCGGCGGCGTCGTCGTCGTCGGCCTCGACATCGTCCTCGTCCTCGTCGTCATCGCGTGGTCGTCGTCGTTGGCGTCGTCGGCACCATTGCAGCCGTCGTCGTCGGCCTCGTCGTCGTCGTCTTTGCGGCCGTCGTCGTCGTTTTGGTCTTCGTCGTAGGCCTCGTCGTCGTCGTCGTCGTCGTCGTTGTCGTGGTCGTGGTCGCGGGCGTCGTCGTCCTCGATTTTGTCGTCGTCATCGTTGCGGCCGTCATCGTGGTCGTCGACCTCGTCGGCGTCGCCGTTGCGGCCGTCGTCGGCGGCGTCATCGTCGTCGGCCTCGACATCGTCCTCGTCCTCGTCGTCATTGCGTGGTCGTCGTCGTTGGCGTCGTCGGCACCATTGCAGCCGTCGTCGTCGGCCTCGTCGTTGTCCTCGTTTTTGCGGCCGTCGACGTCGGCGTCGTCACCAGCCTCGGCTGTCCTCGTCCTTGTCGTCGTCGTCATCGTGTCGTAGTAGTCGTCGGCGTCGTCGTCATTGCGGCCGTCGTCGACGTCGTCGTCGTCGGCCTCGTTGTCGTCGTCATTATTCTCATCGTCGTCATCGTCGCCATAGTCGTCACTGTCATCGTCGTAACCTTTGGCCTCATCGTCGTCGTCGGTCTCGTCGTCATCGTCGGTATCGTCGCCGTCACCATCGTCGCCGTCGTCGTTGGCATCGTCGGCCTCGTCGTCGTCGTCGTCGGCGGCGTCGTCGTCGTCATGGTCGTCGTCATGGTCGTCGTCGTCGTCGTTCTCGTCGCCGTCGTGGTCGAGGTCGACGTCGGCGTAACCTTCGTCGTCGGCCTCGTCGTCGTCATCGTTGCGGCCGTCCTGATCGCCGTCGGCCTCGTCGCCGTCGTCGTCGTGGTCGAGGCCGACGACGTCGACATCGGAACCTTCAACCTCGTCGTCGTCGGCCTCGTCGTCGTCGTGGTCGTGGTCGTGGTCGTGGTCGTCGTCGTGGTAGTGGCCTTTGTGCGAGCGGGCGAGCGTTTACCCAGCTCTGTCGCGAGCAGGTCCGCGCCTGATGGTTGGCGGGACGAGGAGAGCAAGGGGGAAGGCTGTCTTGGGAGGACTGGGGTCAGGCTGCTCCCGCGGCATAAGACGAGAACCGCGAGGGAAGCCCTGGGCCCTCGACGATCGAGGGGAAGCTGCTTTTCTGGGAAGGCTTGGGTGGAAGTTCTGGGGGCGCCTTCGCCACCCTCGGGCCTCCAGAAAGAAACCTTGGAGGCTTGGGGGCCTCTCGTGACCAGGATCCCCGGTGGAAGTAAGACGTACGACGTCTGAGTCGTCCTCCGGCTCCTCCTGCTCAGTCCTCTGGCTCCTCCTGCTCCATCCTTCTCCCTTCTCCGTCCACCCTCCCCCTCCTCCTTCTCCCTCCTCTTCCGTCTCCTCCTCCTCCTCCTCCTCCTCCTCCTCCTCCTCCTCCTCCTCCTCCTCCTCTCCATCCTCCTCCTCCTCCTCCTCCTCCACCTCCTCCCTCTCCTCCTCCTCCTCCTCCTCCCCTCCTCCTCCTCCCTCCTCCTCCTCCTCCTCCTCCTCTTCCTCCTCCTCCCTCCTCCCTCCTCCCTCCTCCCCTCCTCCTCCTCCTCTCCTCCTCCTCCTCCTCCTCAACTCCTCCTCCTCCTCTCCTCCTCCTCCCCCTCCTCCCTCCTCCCTCCTCCCTCCTCCTCCTCCTCCTCCTCCTCCTCCTCCTCCTCCTCCTCCTCCTCCTCCTCCCACCTCCTCCCTCCTCCTCCTCCTCCTCCTCCTCTCTCCTCCTCCTGCTACTGCTGCTGCTGCTCTCCTCCTCCCCCTCCTTCTCCTCTTCTTCCTCCTCCTCCTCCTCCTCTTCTTCTTCTTCCTCCTCCTCCTCCTCCTCCTCCTCCTCCTCCTCCTCCTCCTCCTCCTCCTCCTCCTCCTCCTTCTCCTCCTCCTCCTCCTCCTCCTCCTCCTCCTCCTCCCTACTCCTCCTAAAGCCGTGCGGCCCGCGCGGGGCGGCCGCGGCGGCCCATGGTCCCTGTGCCGAGGTGACGGGCGCGAGCCTGCTGCGGAGGCGCAGCGCTGCGGCTGCCCGGAGCTTCGACGCTGGCCGCCTGCAATATGCGTACCGGCGTAGGGCGAGGCTGAATCGCGCTGCGACTATACGTCCCGTGGCTTGAGGGGGGCAGGGAGGCCTGCTGAAGTTATCGCAGCACGACTGCGGTCATGAGGCACGTGCGGGAGCTCCCCAGCAGAAGGTGGGCGCTTGGCCAAGAACAGGCGGCTTCGAAGGGCGCGCGCCCGCCAGCCGGCGGACCGCGCCATCGCGAAGCTCACCGCCGAGAAGGACCAGCTGAATGTGAAGCTCGGTGCGGTCTCCCATGTCCAAGAGGGACGCGCCAGCGACGAGGTCGGTCACCGACTCGCTGCGCTCATCCCCCAGCTGGGACAGTGACTGGGCACGCTCCTGGAGTTGCAGGCGGCGAGCGACGGCACGAGCCTCGGCGGTCCCGCGGCGCCCGCTGGGCTGCGCGCCGAGGCGGACGCCTTCGTGCCACTCAAGAACCCGGAGGTGCACGGCGACTGGCAGCGCGAGGAGGGCAAGCCGGCGCCACGGTGGTCAAGCGACGCGGAGGCGGAGGCCGAGCAGGTCTCCGAGCTGCTGGAGGCGCTGAACCTGGACGTGAAGCCACCCGCGGGCCCAGCGGCGACCCCTGCGGCGGCTGCGGGCGGCGGCGCGGAACGGGCCCCTACGGGGGATCACTGCCCTGCCGCTGGTGCCAAGATGGCCGCGCTGGACGGTGCTCTGGCGCCACGGGTGCAGCTGGCTGTTCATGTGGTCTCACACGCGCCCGTATGGACCAGCTGCATGGATGCGGAGGCGTGGCACGCGGGCGGCGCCCTGCAACAGGGCGTGGGCGCCGCGCGAGGACGGCCTGGGCGCCAACGCCGTGCAGACGGAGGAGCAGGAGCACGCCAGCGTGGGCAAGGTGCAGGGCAGCTTCACGGGCGACCAGGACGAAGGCCAGGGCTTCACCTCCTGCTGCGCGGGCTCCGAGGACGGCCAGGACGGCTACGCCGCGAAGAAGGAGGTGCAGGAGCTCGACGGCGAGGGCAGCTGCAAGGACGGGCACCAGCGCACCAACGTGGCGGAGGTGCGCATCAACGACCTGCCGAAGGTCCAGGCGAGCTTACGGGCGACCGGGAAGACGGCCAGGACTTCACCTCCTGCTGCGCGGGCTCCGAGGACGGCCAGGACGGCAACGCTGCGAAGGAAGAGGAGCAGGAGCCCGACGGCGAGGACAGCTTCAAGGGCGACCATGGCAGGTACTAGAGCATCAACGAGGCGGAGGTGCGCATCAACGACCTGCCGAAGGTCCCTGCGCGATGGGGGGCCGCACAAACAACTCCCAAGCGGCGCGCGCAGAAGAGGCGCGCGAACCAGCAGAATTACCCCGACACCAAGCTGAAGGCGTGGCAGCACGAGCGGGGCGCTTGGAGCAGTAGACAGTGGGCAGTTGCAGCAGCACTGGCGTTGCTCGCCCTCAGTTTCGCCGCTGCCGCGTGCCCTGGCGAGCGTGGATGGCAAGTGGCTGGCCCAGTGGAGGGATCGACGCCCGACGTCTATCTCCACGACGGCGCCGCGGACATTCATGGGCTTGACGGTGGGGCCCTTCAGGAAGTCAGAGCGCTGCAAGCTTTCCTGACGGACCTGGACAACGGGGACGTGTGCGGCAGGGGCAGGGTGCCGTCCCAGCTGCCCGCGCAACCACTGTTCGGGACCTGGGACCCGAACGGACACGAGCACCTCGACGCCGACGAGCCGCTCCGCGCGCATGGGCACCCTTCGGCAACACGCAGGAGTGACCCTGGGTAAGAGTGACCTTTGGTGCACGGGCTTTTGGGGGGCCGCGGGGGGCCAAACTCAGGCGCGCAAGACGCTACTATCGCGTCGCAATCGGTGATCGGGGGACCCCATTGTGCCCGCACCAAAGGTCACTCCGGCGAAAGGCCACTCTTACGTGTAGTCGAGCCCTGGCCTCGCGATCGCCGAGGCGAGGGTCATATCGCACCGGACGCGCACGGAGACGACGGGGCCCGCCGCGGCGAGGTGCGCACGGAGGCTGCACGGCCACCGGAGGAGGTCGGCCGCGGCGCGGCCGCCGGCAGGCGGAGCGGCGCAGACCCTGGCAGCAACGTGAAGTCGGGCCTGTCCCCCTACAGGGGGATTGTCGACGAAAAATAAAAAATGTCCCCAAAATAATCAAAAAATTGTCCAAACATAGTCTGGGGACTATTTTTTGAGTATGTTTTGACCTTTTTGGGGCACTTCTTGGGTATCTTTTATTTTTCGTCGAAGATCCCCCTGTAGGGGGACACGCCCGACATAGCAGCAACGGGGCGGCGGCGGCGGCGGCGGCAGTGCAGCGCGGCCGCGGGAGCGGCTCGCGCGCGGCGGCGCAGGAAGGCCGCGGGAACGGCTTGGCGGGAGGCGCGCCGCGGCCGGCGCGGATGCGCGCGGGAGGGCGGCGCGCCGCGCTCGCTCGCGCGCACCAGGCGTGCTCGGCGATGCGGGCGGAGGGGGGGCGTGACGCACCCTCCCCCCCCGCTCCTCCGCCACCCCAAAAGACGTCCCAGAGACGTCTCCTCCCTCCTCCTCCTCCTCCTCCTCCTCCTCCACCTCCTTCTCCTCCTCCTCCTCCTCCTCCTCCTCCACCTCCTCCTCCTATCCACCATGCGCGTCCATAATTAGGCCGGGCTCCGCGTTTTCGCTTGATGCCGGAAGCGACAACCTCCAACAGTGATACAGGCGGAGGGTGACATCTTTTCAAAGTGTGGCTCTCGCACCAGCCTTCGCACACATTCATCTCAAGAACGTCCGACAAGTCAACGATGCGTCGCTTGCGAAGGACGCAGCAGTCGCCGAACTGAAACCCCTCGAACCTCGAACTGTTACTCTCGACGACGACGACGACGACGACGACGACGACGACGACGACGACGACGACGACGACGACAACGATGACGACGACGATGACGACGACGACGGCGGCGGTGGCGGCGGCGGCGAGGAACAACCAGCGATGACGAAGGACCGACGACGACGAGGAAGCACGACGACGACGACGCCCGAAGTCGAAGAACCACGAAAACTCGGACCTCTCCCTCGCCGTCCTCGTCGTCGTCGTCGACGACGACGACGCCGACTGACACAGCGACGACAAGCCCTGCCCGCGGGCGGCGCGGCGGGGCAGGCACCCGCCGGGCGCGCGCCGCTCCGCAGGAACCACAGCCCCGCCCCCGCGCACGCCAGCGAAGAGAGCGGCGAGGGAGCCGCGGCGGCCGCTGCAGCGGCGGGCGAGCCGACGCCACCTCCGCTCCCTCTGTAAGAACGGATTTATGAAGGCAAGCCTGCCTTCAACATAACTTGTCTACTCGGTAAGAACTGTATTTTTGAGGGCAGATCTGCCTGCCAAAGGACGTTCTTTTTTGGAGACAGCTTGGCCTTGAGACAAACCGTTCTGACATAACTGTTGAAGGCGGACCTGCCTTCAAAAAATCATTATTTGCAAAATCGTTGCTGCCAGGGTCTCTGGCCAGCCTCGGCGCGCGACTTCTCGGGTCGAGCGGACCATGCTGATCGAAGAGCCCAAAAAAGCAGAAACCTACATTCCTGGGATGTCCGTGCGGACTTCTTGGCTCCGCGCTGGGCCCCCCCTCCCTGGCGCGCGGAGCGCGCCAAGGACGGCGCCGGAGGCGCCGGCAGGGGGGCCCAGCGCGGATCCAAGAGACCCGCGCGGAGCTCCGACAATTTGTGTTTGCGCAGCTTTGGTTGGTTCTTCGGGGGGGGGGGGGGGGACGCCGTCTGCCCGTGAGGCGCGTCGAGAAACATGGGAGCAACAGGGCACCTCCACCCGTACCCGGCCCCCCCGTCCCCGGAGGGGTGGGCCAGGGGTGGGGTGGGGTGTGTTTGCTGTCTCTCTTCCGTCGGGCGTCCTCGCGATCGGGGGCCGGGGCTCTCTGTCCCCAGCCTGAGGGGGAGAGGGGCCAGAGGAGGTGGAGGCGCGCTTTTCCTTGCCCATCAACATTGGCTCTGAGCGAGCTCGGCTCGTGGTCTGCCCTGGGACAACAGCAGTGCCTCTCCAGCCCCTGTCTGCCCACGCAACGCAGAAGAGAACCCCGTGCCCACCTGTGCCCAAGCCCTCCTACCGAGCTGGGCCCCCGCTTTGTCTCCACTGCGCCGCGTGCCTTCCTCCCGAGACTGTTGGCTGAGGTGGAGCTGGCCGCCCTGAAGGTCAACCACAGCAGCGCGGGCTTGGCCCCGCGGGCCCGCAGGCCACTGCGCCAGCGCCGCGGCCGGCGGGGCGTGCTCGGTGTGCAGCCAGGCGGGTCGCCGCAAGGCCCATCCCCCGCGGCCGCTGCCGTGCTGGCGCCGCTGGGCCAAGCGTGCGGCGGCGACGGGAGGGCTCGGTGTGCCGCCCTGTTCGCCGGGCGAGCGTGGTTGCCGCACGCTGCTGCACAAGGCCCAGGTTGGGTGGCATGCGTGCGCTGCGGGGCGTCAGCGCCAACGTGGCCGCGGCTGGCGGCGTCGCCCTGCGCGGGCTGGGCCGCCGCGCTGCCGCCTAGGGCGGCAGCCGTGCTGCTTCTGCCCGTCGTCTGGGCTGGCGGGCGCGAGGCCGCCTGGCGCGAGGCGCTGCAGGCGCGCCTAGTGCGGCGCCCAGGGCCACCGGGCTAATTCGCAGCTTGGGCGGGCTGCGTGCTTGCCGCGTCCTCCCCGCCCCCCCGGCCCCTCCCCTCGCTCCCTCCCCCCCAGACGCCTCCCTTTGCCACTGGGCTTCTTCGATGGGGAACATGCCTTCCTCCCGAGACCCCCATACACGCACATTTTTCGACCGTTTCCGGCCTCTGGGGGCCCTCCTCCCAGGGGGCCCCAGGACCGTGCAAAACGACTCGGGATGAAAAGCCCGTCGCGGGTAAGGGGTCCAGACCTCTGGTGGTCAGCGGTGCGAGCAACATCGCGGCATCGGGGACCGGGGTCCCTGCTTGCCACCTCCCACCCCGCTTTTTTCACAGAAGCCGATCGGGCTCGTGCCCAAAGCCAGTCGGGCCCGTGGCTGCACAACTCTGCAGGTAGCTCTGACGCGACTGCCTGACAATGGGCGACGGGATTGGTGCCTGCGGGTGCCGGTGCCGCCTCCCCACTACTCCCCCCCGCCCGGGATCCCTCCGGGAATATGAAGAGGAAGTGCAAGAGGAATAGGAGGAGGAGGAGGAGGAGGAGGAGGAGGAGGAGGAGGCAGAAGGAGGAGGAGAGGAGAGGAGGAGGAGGAGGAGGAGACGAGGAGGAGGAGGAAAGAAGACGAGGAGCAGGAGAGGAGGAGAGGAGGAGAGGAGGAGGAGCAGGAGTAGAGGAGGAGGAGAGGCCAGAAGGGGGGAGAGTCGGAGGAGAGGCGGAGGAGGAGGAGGAGGAGGGAGGAGGAGGAGGAGGAAGGAGGCGCAGAGGAGGAGGAGGAGGAGGAGGAGGAGGAGGCGGGGAGGAGAGGAGGAGAATGAGGAGGAGGAGGGAGGACTCGGAGGAGGAGGAGGAGGCGGAGGACGGGGACGAGAACGAGGAGGAGGAAGGAGAAGAGGAGGAGGACGAGGACGAGGGTGGAAACTGAGGAGCAGGAGGCCTTGTCGATTCGGCGGCGAGCGAAAGGGGGGGGAAGCGAGGAGGAGAAGGCCTTCTCGGAAGGCTCGGGGGGATACCCCGACCTTCCGAGAATTTGTTTGAGCCTTGCACGAAGACAGACAACAAGACTTCACAGAAGGCGCGAGGGCTTCTGAGAAGTCCCGCCGCAGTCTGAGAAGGCCTTCTCCTTCTCATTTCCCCCCTTCGCTCGCCGCCGATCGTTATGAGGGGAGGGGGGGGGAGTATCACCCCAATCGGGGATACGTCGCCGATAGATCTGCGATATGCCCCCGATGGCGAGTCCGCACGCTCCCCAGCGGGTGTGGTGTGGTGTGTGTGTGTGGGGGGGGGGGGGGGGGCAGCCCCTATGGATGATCAATGGCCGGTTGGGGGTCGATGGAGACCCCCCCTGAGCCTATCCCCCCCTGACGCTGCCCCTGGTCTCATGACCCGATGCTGCTGTCGCGTAGGAGGCATGACTGTGGCGCTACACGACAAGCGGAATGCGGAAATCGGCAGCCGAGCCGGGAAAAGTCGAATCAGCGGAAATCGGCAGGCCAGTACGCCTCCAATAAGAAATCGGAACCCAAATCGGAACCCCAAATCGAATCGAATCGGAATCGGAAGCCACCGAAACCGAATCGAATCGGAGGAGTCGAAACGAGCCCTGGGTCCTCGCCGAGGAAAAAAAATATGCACACGTCCGAGCGACACCACAGCTCACTCCGAAGCCCTCTCTTTTCGGGACCGACCGCGCGATAGGCCGCGGTGTGGAGCCCCGTCGTGGCGTCGTGGGCGCGCAACACACATCCCACACCCACGGCCTTGCGGGGGGGGGCGCGGCACGTGTGCCGCGGCCCCATGGACGCGGGGCGCGTCTTCGCGGATGCTCCGCCGCGCGGAACGCATCCCTGCGTCCGCGTAACCGCGGGATCGGGCCCCAGAGTCCATAGGGGAACGAACAATGACATACACATCATAGCGAAGGGTCCGAACGGCCATTCATTTTTCCTGGGTGCGTGGCTCTACTGGGGATCCGCGGTGGGGACTCTGCTTGTTGGGCTGATGTTGTT